AGAGATATACTTCGGTCAGTCCACCACAGGATTACGCACATTTTCCGTGTGGGAAACAGACCTGCTGACTACCTTGCCAGCCTTGGTGCCACCATACCCGACATACATACGTTCCAGACCGACACTGCTCCACTCCGCCTTCGCACGCTTGTTCGGATGGATCAGCTTGGATATCCATCTTTCCGCTTTCAGTAGATTAGGTTTTCTTTGTTGTCATTTCATTAGATTCTCATTTTCTTTTTCGGGCACCTATTAGCCCATAGACAGACTTTGTATTTGTTTCGCTAGTGAGACCTTGTAGACTGTTGATATTTTTGACCCCCGCTTTGGGGTCTTGATCTATGCACAGGTTGGGGATCCAGCCCAATCCCCCGCCTCTCGGGGCGTTGTTTGTTTAAAAAAAAAAAAAGAAAAAAAAAATCTAGCAACAAAACACAACTAACCTAGCAGCAAGAAAGAACAACTAAACTAGCAACAAAGACAACTAACCTAGCAACAAAACACAACTAACCTAGCAGCAAGAAAGAAATAACCTAGCAACAAAAGACAACTAACCTAGCAGCATCAGACAACTATCCTAGCAGCAAGAAAGAACTAACCTAGCAACAAAAGACAACTAACCTAGCAGCAAAAAAAAATAACCTAGCAACAAAACTCAACTAACATAGCAGCTACAAATAACTAACCTAGCAACAACAAACAACTAACCTAGCAACAAGACACAACTAACCTAACAAGAAAGAAATAACATAACAAAAGACAAATGATCAACGGTCAACGTCGGAAGTCAACGCCGGAAGTCAACAGTCAACGCTGAAAGTCAACGATTTTCGCCGGAAGTCAACGCCGGAAGTCAACAGTCAACGCCGGAGTCAACAGTCAATGGTCATAATAATATTTAAATAATTAAAAATAAAGAATTAAATAATAAAATAAAAAATTATTATTTAAATCAAGATCTAAATCTTGTGGTTAGGAATGAGTCTCACGTCCTCATTTTAAATAATGGGATGCATTAGAACCAATCCCTATATATATATATATATAAATATAAATATACATGTGTGTGTGTTTGTCTGTACCAGGGATATTTCCATGGATGATTTTATCCTCTTCTTCCTTGGAAAGGGAATTATTCTCTCCGTACCCTAATTCATCCGACCTTTGCGCGTATCCTCCCCGAGGTGAAGACGACTTAGTCTCCCTACTCATTTTGTACCAAAAATTATTGTTACAAGTTACCACATTCATGATTTATGATATAACTATTCCTTTGATGTTCTTACATGTATGGATTTTGAATTCAAGCATATAAGAACACGTGACATCTATAATAGTCCCCACAGCCCACTATAAGAAAATGTGAAAACAACTACAAATATTATCAATAGAATTTATTTTTGGTAAATACCAACATATTACCGACATGATACAAACAAAAGATATTACTGTACATTACCTACAAAAGAGAATACTAGACAAATATTTGTAGGTAATTTGTAGTTTGTTGGTAAATGCCAAAAGATTGCCTGCAAATTATATACAAATACATTTAATTACCTACAAATTATTCTCTATGTATGCAATTACACATTTATTTACCTACACATTTATGGCCTCCAAATTTTTTCCCTATAAATTTTTCTCTAGGCATTTACCTAAAGATATATTATTTAGGTAAATACCTAGTGATTACGTACAAATTTTTAACATTTTATGTATCAGAACATTTCCCTATAAATATTACTCTAGCTATTTACAAGCATACATATTTTACCTAAAAAAATTTTACATTTACGAAGGTGAATATTTACTTACAAATTTTTTCTAGATATATTTTTTTACAAATATATCTATCTATCATTATATTAAAAGATTAACCATTTAACACTTTTAGCAAGTTTTTCCCGCCAAATACATTTAATGTCTCCTAAAAATAGAGCAGCATTAAATGTTGCCCTTAAATCATGGCAGTTGTTAATTTAGTTTGGAGAAAATCGTGGCAAATAAAACAAACAACATTAATTACGGCTGATTTAATATTTAAATGGTAAACAAATATTACTTTTTTATAACTGATTTAAATTTACGTCTGTTTAAAAGTAAAAAATTATTTTTGTAATTTCAACAAATTTGTACTCTTTAATGTACGACTGATTTAAAATTAAGAATTTACTTTTGTATTTTCACAAAAAATCATATAAAGAAGTATGACTGGAATAATAATAAAAAAATTAATTTGTTAAACCATAATTTGCACTCATAGATACGAATTCTCATCAAATTCAAGATTTAAAATTATGAAGAATGTATATATATGGGGACTGATTGGAGATATATGATTCCTTAAATTAAGGAACTTTTTCCGGTAAAAAAAAAAATATAAACTTTAAATACAGATTTTATTAGTAGTGTATACCAAAGATTATTGTTACATTTAAAATTCCTATGAAGAAGAATTCTATTAATTTTCAAATTCAACATCTCATAAAAATAATATAATACACATTTACATTCTATGAAACAATATTTAAAACCCACCATTCAACATGCATAAAATGTAAAATTACCTAACATGAATCATTTTAACTTTCTAAAATCAGTACACAATTTGCTCGGTATGTACTAATAGTCTAATAGTTAAGAGTTAATATTTGCTATGACATCTATTGGTTGGAAAGAATTCCATTTTATATGGAATTCGAAATGAAAAAACGTATTCTGAAAATCAAATCTGGTTTAGAGATCGATTTCTTAATGGCCTTAAATTATGCAAATATATTGTTTCAGTTTTTAGGATTCTTTTTTATGATCTCAGTCTTTGCATTATATGAAATCTATACTTATATAAAAAGTCATCCTATTTACTAGAAATAGTAGGCAGAAAAGTCAAAGGTAATTAATGCTTGCTGGAAATAGAATGATATTAATTACAGATTTGTTTTGGTATTTATAGGCTTCACAATAAAGATTTGTTATGGGATAAAAATCAGAACCGATTTTTTTACCTTTATTAGAAAAGTCAAAGGTAAGTATAGATTTGTTTTATCCCATAGCATCTGTTTAGTTAAGAAAATCCCATCAAATCAGTTTTATATGTCAAGCTTATGAATAAAGATTTAATCGGTCAAAATCAAATCCTTATTTTACGTCACCCATAAATAAAGTAGATGTCAAACCTAAATTGAAGGGTTTAGTTGTCTATATAGTCATTGATTTACGTACATACATCTAATGTTTAAAGTTTGTGTAGATTGAAAATTCCTTCTTATCTTTTTACAAAAAATCTTATTATTATTGTATGGAAAATCAAACTCATAATGTTGTGTACAAGGTGGTCTTTAATAATATATGATTGTTTGTTTGTCGAATCCTATCTTATTGTATAATTTTCATGCGTATTATAAAACTTTTATTGAATATTGAATCTTATAATATAGTATTCCTCAAATAAATATATCCCATGCCTCGCACGGATCACGTACTATATATATCTCGTACATTTTTCTGTATTCATGTATATAATTATAAGTCTGGATAAATAGCCTTAAAATTGTGCACCCCGTGCATCGCACGGGCTCTGTACTAGTTTTGTAAGTAAATGCATAGAGACTGTTTACAATTTTTTTCCAACAAATGTTTAATTATTTATTTACCTTCAAATATATTTTGTAGGAAATTAATGGCTAGAGACTAGGCAAAAGTTACCTACATTTATGTTATGAATATTTCTCTGCAAATTTTTCTATAGCTAATTACCTGTAAATTAGTGAATATATAATTCTCAAATGTGCTTAATCTAAGTGGCAGACTCGCATGCTTCGAGTTCATATATAACAAATTTTTAAGCTTTGTTGTTTGGCTTAGATGAATTTTAATTTGTTTCAAATCCAAAAGTAACTATTCTTGGAATATCTATAAATATACTGAATATTCATAGTCGTTTATAATACACTATTAATGTTTTAATATCATTTTCTATTGTAGACGTGATTTATAAGGTAATATTTTTTCCCCAATCTTTACTTATTTCTCATATTTCTTTTAAAATTATAATTTGAAAGTTAATAAATTTTTTAGTTAACATTTTTTCATATATATAGTATGTAAAATAAATCATGTCTTGATAAGTTTCGATTTGACATCTATATTATAAATACAAAATAATTAAATAATATTATTTATCCTTATATTTAAAATTAAACTCTATATTAATATTAATTCAACAAAAGTAAAATTATTTAACTAATTTAACTACAAAGTAGTTATATGATATAAATANATTTCTGCTTATCTCATTTTTATTTTTGTATGTGATTGTAAAAAAATCTAAATAGATAAAATAAATAATATTTTTCCATAATTTCAATATGTTAGATTTTAATTGTAATGAGATAAATATATATATATATATATATATAGAATTTGGATCATATGAGAAAGGGAGTTGGTGTAAGAAATAAGAATAAATCTGGACCATATGATCAATCATATCAATGGTTATGATGAAGTCAAACTATGGTCAATTATTAATGGCAATCTAGTAATAATTTGATCATAATGGGTCAAATATGCACATTTGACCAATAATTAAGGATAAGTTAGTCATTACACATATATTATGTGGGACCCACACATCATTTAATATCTATTGTCTCTCTCTCATCACCGTACTCTCTTCCTTCACAATCCGTTGCACACACACACACACACACCACGGCGGCAGACACCACGAGATCCGTCGGATCCAGCCTTCACACAGAAACCCGCCGCCGCAATTCCCGCCGCCCTGCGCGGCCACAGTCCACCGGTGCATCCCCCCATTGTAGCGGCAGATGACAGCGACTCGATGCCGACAACGGCCACTCCGACGTCGTCGACTGAGACCTGGAAATCCTCCGCCATATTCTGGCCTTCATCAACTGCAGCTCGTCGCCGGTATCGCACACAAACAAACACACACTCAGCTCCGGTCGATGTCCCAGCCACTACCATTCCCGTCACCGGCCGCACCACCCGATGGCTATGAGAGGAGGAGTTGCACAGTGGACCGACGCCGCTGAGTGAGGCGGCGCCGGGTTCTGATAATTACAGTATATGGTCGGAGCAGATGCCAAATCGCGGCTGATGGAACGACTAGCGAGGTCGACGAAGGAGTCAACGAGCACGGCGATCTGACCGGACGTGGTCGGCGGCGGGAGTGACGGCCGAAACTGGACAGGCAACGGCGGCGATTTGAAGGGAGAGAAAGGCGACGGAGGGATTTAACCTTTTCCTGTTCACAAATCTATTTGGGGAAGATGAAGTTGATTTGGGGATGAAATCAATTAGTTGATAATTGCCATTTTTTAAAATACTTTAATTATAATATAAATAAGTTAGTAGAGGAATTATGAATTATGAATAGCATGAGCTGGGACGAGATTTTACAGATCTGGTATTGGGGCATATTTTTGAAAATTAGACATGGTGAGGGGACTTTTCTGCAATTCTTAACTTTTAATATATTTACAATTTAGTACTTAGGGCCAATATGTAATATAATGAAAGTTAAATAAATGCACAATAATTATGAATAAGATGAACAATATAGGTTGGGAAGATGCACAATAAAAAAATAATAATATTTTTACATAATAATAATAAATAATAATAATAGAGATTTTTTGTTATCTAAATAAATCAAAGAAAATGTCGAAAACTAATTGACATAATCGAGTTTTTTAATGTAAAAAGTGATAACTGAACCGAAATTTTAAAATTCGAAATGAAAAGTTTGGTTTTGACATAAACGGTTTAATTTTTCGGTTAACATAAATAATCGAAATAACTGACATAAATTATATTATAAAAGAACACGATTAGTAATTATATGTTTTTCTTGCATTTTATATTACTTTTTAATTAAAAAAATTGTATATATATAAACGAAATATAAGGTGCAATCTAAGAAGTACTAAGGTGCAATTCCTACATCACTATGGTGCACGGCGTCGGTCTGTATTGTGCAGGTTGAACCAACCAATCTTTTGTACAAATTTAAACTATCGATTAACCTAGTTAACCGAATTGACGTAAATAATTGAAATAAATTATTAATTGAATTAACTTTATTTATTCGATTGGGATAACTGAATTAACTTAAATAATAGAAATTATTTATTATTTATAAATCATAATAGTCAAATTTTTAATATTTGTGCAAAAATATAGTTTTATGGTAATGTTCATACTGGTACGTATTAATGTGCATTCTTTCTGACACTATTGTGCAACATGACAGACAATAATGTGCATCTTTTTTAATAACATTGTGCATTCAGCAACAAAGAGTTTTTTATGTGCAAATAAGAACTAAAATCAAATTGAAATAATCAAATTAATGTATTATTTATATTATAAAAATTTATTTATTATTATTTTATATTATTTTTACATTTTATATTAATTTGATTTTTTATTTATTATTTAATATACATGTATATAATAAAATATAAAAATAATATTTTTAATAATTTTTATTTTAATTAAAAATATTTAAAAAAAATATACAGTTTAAAATTTTTAAATAATGTGTAATTTAATTAATATTATTGTGCACTTATCAAATTATTTATAAAATAAAATATATATTTAGTAGCCACAATTTGTATTTAATATTTTTTATTGTTGTTTGTCAAAAATTAAAAAAAAAAGTATATACATATAATAAAACAATGTTTTTTATTGTATTTCGGTCGGTTCTGATATTATTATTATTTATTTATATTTTATCAAAATCGATCTGAAGTATCTAAAATTGTAATATATTGTGAAAGTGATCGTTGTCATGCTAATGTGCATTACCAAACGAATTAATGTGCATTTAATTTAGTATTATTGTGCATTAAGATAATCGTTAATGTGCATCACGATTATTACCAAAAATTAACTGAAATGATTGAGTTATCCGATTGGTTAATCAAAATAACGCAAATAATTAAATAATTTATTATTTGTTATTATAAATAATACATTTAATATTTTCATATTTTATATTAATGATGGTTGAAAAAAATATAATATATATATGTATAAAAAATGTAGACAATTATAATGTGCATATAGTTAATCAATTTTGTGCAATTTGCTTAGTATCAATGTGCATTTATTATACTTGTAAATTACATATTTGACCAAAAATGTAACATAACTAAAATTATAGAAATTGCAAATAAGTCATTGAGACTTGTCAAATTTACAAAAACCAACCCAGCCCCAAATTGACTAAAATTATAGAAAACGCAGCAACAGATCTGGGAGGGAATTATCAAATGTTAATTCTATTCATCCTCCATTAGCTTCTCCTTCCGGCGACTTACGGCGTCGCAGTCTTCAGCTGCCGCTGTCCGGCGACGTCCGACGATGGTTTTTTTTTTTTTTTTCTTTTTTTCAAAAACCGCCATTGAAGCTCGACCTTCGAGCTTGAAGGTCGATTTTTTTCTGGTGATGCTGCATCTGAACCGAGGAGGTTTATGTCGAGCTTGGCGGTGGATGATGATGCCGGAGACGGCGATTTGAACGGCGGCGCAACACTCTTGTGAAGGTAGACGGAAATTGACTGTGATGGCGGCTCCGACGGTGGCGGTTGCTCGGCGATGGCGACGGAGCATCGGGTTGCTCCGCCAGAGCATGGACCGACTCTGGCTCGGCTCCGTCAGACGACCTTCACCCGTACCTGTCGCTCTCACCTTGCCACCGCCGTTGTTGCTTTTTCCGGCGAGTTTACAACTCCGGAGCATGTCTTCGTCGCCGGGGTTCCTGGTGTCGCCACCGTCGCCATCGAATTGCGGACGTCGGAGAGTTAATGAGAGAGGTGCCGGTGAGATTCAGATTTTGCAATCGCAGGGCCTGAGAGAGAGAGAGGAGAGAGAGAGAGAGAGAGACGTAAAAAGTGGATCACATTGGTTGGGATGTGTTGTTGATTTCTAGTAGGGTCCACATGATATTAATATTGTTTGTGTATGTTGTAATTACT